GTCTTGAGGTGGACTAAAGAATGCGGGATGAATGTTTGAATGTTAAATTATATCCATTTGTCTTGAGGTTGATTGACGAAGGCGTGGTTGAATGTATGAATGTTGATTTATATCTCTTCGTCTTGAGGTGGACTGAAGAATATGTTTGAATGTGAGAATGATAATTATGTGTTGAAGCTAAAGGAAGTATTGTCCATTTTAAAGCGTGTATGTTAAATTGCTTCGGTTCTTGTAGAAGTTGACTGATGTAGTCGTGTTTGATTGTGAGAAGTATGTTTACTGTCTGTGCACAAACGCAAATGTCTTAAAGGTTTGTAGCTTTAGACGTAGCGCAAGTTGTCTAAGGTCGGTCAACAATTTGCCTCACCTTTGCCTACCTATAGGGTGAGTGAGTGAGTGAGTGTAGTTTTACGCCGCCTTTAGCAATATTCCAGCAACATCACGGCAAGGGACACCAGAAATATCCTTCACACATTGTACCCATGTGGGGAATCGAACCCAGGTCTTCGGCGTGACGAGCGAACGCTTTAACCACTTGGGTACTACTACTACTACTACTACTACTACTACTACTACTACTACTACTACAACTACAACTACAACTACTACTACTACTACTACTACTACTACTACTACTACTGCTGCTACTGTTACTACTGCTACTACAACTACAACTACTACTACTACTACTACTACTACTACTACTACTACTACTGCTGCTACTGTTACTACTGCTACTACAACTACAACTACAACTACAACTACAACTACAACTACTACTACAACTACTACTACTACTACTACTACTACTGCTACTGCTGCTACTACTACTGCTACTACAACTATTACTACTGCCTGCTATATGTAAAATGTACCGCTTGGAAATAACGTCATACTATTATTAATCAGATACTATCATTGCTCAGATAATGATTATTGTACACTCCCATGATGACTGTGGCTTGAAAGCTGGTTTGTTGGTATGTATGTATTCGATAGGGATTGCCTGTTACATGTAACATGTATTTCTTTGAAATAAAAACATAAATAAAATACATGTACTACTACTACTACTACTACTACTACTACTACTACTACTACTACTACTACTACTACACACGACGTCATCGAAGAAGAAAACGCGAAGACTGCACGCTGCTAGTCGTAACATCGCCATTGAACGTATTGAATCTGGAGAGTCCCAGTCTGCAGGTGCACGCCATTTCAACGTACACTAGAGCACCATGTATCGTTTATGGGTTCCTTATGCACGCTTTAGTCAGTCCAAGTTTAGTTTTACGCCGCTTTTAGCAATATTCGAGCAATATCATGGCAGGGGACACCCGAAATGGACTTCACACATGGTCCCAATGTGGGGAATCGAACATCTTCGGCGTGACGAGCGAACGCTTAAACCATTAGGCTACCCCACCGTTCCTAATGTGCTAGAAACCAAAAGTACGTGCATGTTGTGTCGAGGGTATCGGTCCAAACAATCAAGAACCGTCTGAAAGAGGTGGAGAATTTTTAATAACAATGCCTATATTTATCCCTGTTCTGAGACGTTTGCACCGACCACGAAGACAACTGCGATGGAGCAACACCGTACACCGGACTTTGAGAAACCTGAGCCTGGTTCAGCGAGGAATCACGACTTCTTCTCCAGACGCCGAAAACGCTTGTTTACCGACGTCAAAATCGTTTACGCCGACTGGACCTAAGTGTCATGTGACGGGACAATCAGTAGCATTATGTCTACAGAACATGTGGCCATAACCATTCTAAGTTTCTTCCTGGTTTTAATCACATTGATTGATATATGAACAATTATTTGGAAATGGTGTTATATTTTCCGACGTTTCTCTGTTAAAAAAATGTATGTATGAAAGGTTTAGAACTGACATAAGCCTTCTTCTGAAAAAGAAGGTAGTATCTCTTCCAAATCTTATTGATAATGTCTTCCTTTGTGCTACGTCCCTGAACCACATTATTTTCCCTACTGCCAAGCCCTCTCTGCAGTGCTAAAGCCCTAAATAAAGCAAGTCTAGATTTCCTCAGGTTCAGGAATCTCTGGTCTTCCCTGGGGCTCCTTTTCAATTTAAATGGGCTTGTTTGTTGCTATCAAAATTATAGCACTCTCCCAAAAAAGAAACACATATAGGGATTTCAACTGTATTTTTATGTTTATTTTGAAACATCTTGTAGGCTTTATGAGTCAATGAAATATAGAGAAATTGCACACTGGGAACGCAGACTTATCCGTCTTTGGCACCAACTCGAGGAAAGTCAGTTTGAGTGTCACATGGAGACGTGTGGTGGCGCTGAAGTCAATACCTCGTGTGACCACCGTGGGCATCCAGAACTGCACGGCATCGCCTCGGCATCGAACGAATAAGTCTCAGAATCTCGTGTTGCCCAATCGCAGCCCACTCTGCCTGTAGTGCCTGTGCGAGTTGCTGAAGTGTCTGGGGCTGAGGGTTACGGCGTCGCACCCGTCTATCTATCTGTTCGATCGGGTTTAAGTCCGGTGATCTTGAGGGCCAGGGGAGCACATTGATGTTGTGGTTCTGGAGGAAGTCTCTTGTGTGACGTGCTGTGTGGGGCCTGGCATTGTCCTGTTGAAACAACTCCCTCTGGCGATCAATGATTGGAAGGAGGTGTGGGCGTAGGATTTCGTCACAGTACCGTTGAGCTGTCAGGTTGCCCTGGATCATCACCAAATCACTTCTCCTACGCCAGGTGATCGCTCCCCACATCATAAGACTGCCCCGGCCGAATCTGTCCACCTGGGGAACGCAAGCGTCGGCGAAACGTTCACGTCGACGTCTGTACACCCGCATTCTTCCATCGCGTCGTTCCAATAGAAATCGTGATTCATCACTTAACCAGATTCTACGCCAATTCGGTAGGTTCCAGGCCTGAACGTCGGTGCACCATTGAACTCGATGTCGACGATGTTGTTGTCGAAGCACAGGGCCAAAATAAGGTCTTCTGGCACGTAAACCAGATTCTTTCAACCTGTTCCTGACGGTCTGTGCAGAAAGCCTCCTCAATCCGGGTATTTGTCGAGCGGTACTGGTCGCCGTAGCTGTTCGATGACGCAGGTGATGTACCCGGATGTAGCGATCCTGCGCCGCACTGGTCGCTCGAGGTCGCCCACTACGAGGGGCATCTGCTACCGCATTCTGCCGGCGATATCTCTCCCAGAGCCGTGAAATGGTGCTTTGGTGAACATTCAGGCGTCGGGCAACTGCTCGTTGAGACTGGCCAGCTTCAAGCAAACCAATGGCGATATGACGGTTGGCTTCACTTAGACGTGGCATTTTGCGTTCGTCAACAATATTCCAAATACAGTGAATAATCGACAGACAGCGATCAACCTTTTATACCCATCATTGAGACTATCTGATCCCCAACTTTCACGTGCATTACATGTGAATTGTGTATTCTGTGACACTACACGCCGAAATTGAAAATCATGCTGTTAAATACGGGTATTTTCCGGATGGTGCGTTTTGTTGTGATGTTTCAAAACATAAACACCATAGGACTCATAAACAGAGCAAAACCTTTTGTAAAATGAATCACGTTTTAATTCATTGCTACATGAAATTGCTATTTTCATGATGCGTTTCATTTTTGGGAGAGTATATATATTCAGAGACTAACCATTAGTCTAGGATATTGCAGATGGGGTCGACATACAATGCTGTTGCCAACGCCCTCGGATGCCACCGAATCACGGTTATAAGACTTACTTACTAGCCTACAGACAGACTGGGGTCACCGTAGACAGACCAAGAAGTGAACGTCCACGCATCATAACGCCAGCTGAAGATGTGTACCTCCGTCATTAAGGAAGGAGGGTAACGTTTCTTTTGGCGTTTAGTGTACATCGAGAGACGTATAGTATAGACTGAAAGATTCTATTTTCGTGAGACTGTCATCTATCCAGCGCTATTGGAACATATCTCTGCTGTCGAACATATGATTTCTTTTGATCACATGCACATAAGAATATAAATGCTATTCGTTTCTGTTCCGAACAAGCATCACATATATTAATCCTCACTGATAGAAACAGTTGTAAATGAATGAAGCGTTCGTAAACTCCTTATATCAGTGGGTGCCGCAGTGTTCAGCTGTATCTGATGAAGCAACAAGGATTTCCTTTTGTCTTTATTATTCTTTTGAATGATGTAGACTCATTTAAATAGGGGATCTGGGCATTAAGAGTGAGCGAGTGAGTGAGTGCGTATGATTTTACGCCGATTTTAGTAATATTCCAGCCATAAAACACCAGAAATGGGCTTCACACATTGTACCCATGTGGGGAATCGAACCCGGGTTCTCTTCGTGACGAGCAAACGCTTTAACCACTAGGCTATCCCACCGGGCGCCAAATGATGAAGTACTCTATAACGCAGATACCCGTGAAGATCCGGGTTAGAATATTGATCTTCAGTAACCCATGCTTGTCGGAAGAGGCGACTAACGGGATCGGGTGGTCAGGCGCGCTGACTTGGTTGACACATGTCATCAGTTCCCAATTGCGCAGATCGATGCTCGTGCTGTTGATCACTGGATTGTCTAGTCCAGACTCGATTATTTACAGACCGCCGCCATATAGCTGGAATATTGCTGAGTGTGGCGTTAACCTAAACTCACTCACTCCATAACGATGTAAGAATCTGCACCGAAACGTCGCTTTATGCAGCAAGCAATAAGTTATTATCAATACCAACATATAGTCTTCCCTCCACGTTTTCATGAGACCTAACCTGTGTTACTGAATTTATTTTTCTCATTGATACAGATCGAATGAGCTCTAAAAGGCCACCCACACGTGGTGTAAATCAACCACAATAAAAAATCGAAACCAGATATTCACGCTTTGTCTTGTCCATATTGCGAATTATTTCACTCCCCTAATTCGAACTCTGTTCGGGCTGGTCCACGATAATAATAGCTCTTTAACAAAATATTTAGAGTAACTTCCCTTGGTTCGAATCAGCATCATGGCGGCTTCGGTGAAAACAGGAGATTTGAAGAAAGCCATTAAAAGTAAGATATGCAGCTGAGGTTTTGCTTGAGAACACAAAGTCAAAGTTATTGAATCAACAAGCAATATGTATTATTTGAATGTATATTCTGCCATTTCAATTTTCAGACATTTTGAAAGATGCCGACCTCGACTCTTTGTCGGCGAAGAAAGTTCGGCGAAAATTGGAAGAAATGTTCGGAATCGAGCTCACAGACAGGTAATTCGTTGAAAAAATGAGTGGACATGAACAAATAGTTAAATAAACCTAAAAAGAATTTTGTGGCGATGGAAGCTTCTATTGCATACGAGTTGTTTACACCGGACGGAATCAAAACAAACATTTTGTTGTCACCTCGTGAGAACCGGATGGGCGATGTCGCGAAACCGCACGTGTTTACTTTTAGATTCTCGCTATGGCGACTGTTTATTGTCGACCTGTACAAAAGAAACTGTTTCTGTAGAAGATTCGATGTTACCATTTGTAAAATATCAAGACATTTGTCTTTTGTTCTGTATTTGTGTTGTTTCTGTAAAAACGTGGAAATGCTCTTCTTTTTTTAATGCTTGTAATGGCTTCATGGATACCAGTTACAGATAGTGGGTCTGTGTACATACATGTTGGGATGCCTATATACAGTAACGTACCCAAATGGCTGAAAACCTGAAACTGTCAATTTGACCATCTTGAATTTTTAATTTACAATGGAATTTTCAGTGCATATCCAGTTTGTTTTTGTTTTAAATACCCAAACCAGTGCTTTAGATAATGTTTTATCCATAACTCTAGTCTAATTATATTTCATATGGGAATTGATAGTTTTCATGTAAATGTGATGTCTGTAAATGAAGATCTGTGTGGAAATAAATTTATGCAATTTGAAAAGAAAACATTTTGCAATGTCAGAGTTGGTTAACCATGTTCAACCTGTTTTTGAAAGGTTTGAGATGACAGTAGCCATGTTTTGAGGAGTAGCAGAATTAAAACTTAACTTCTGCTCATGGGAGTAGGTGATGTCATTAACATGACTATTCAATTTACAGGAAATATATCTTCCACATCGCCTTACCATCACATTCAGATGTTAGAGTCCAAGGGACGTCCATTCATAAATTTTTTCGGTCCTTGCTGTAGTATTAGGGCCCAGTAAGGTATTGAAATTGTGAGAGTATTGTATGTTCCGATAATTATCTCAGAGCCTAGAATGAATCGGTGATCATGTGGACAGTGGTTGCGGTGGGAGAGCTGGCTAAGGCGCCAGGCTAGTGATCCAGCGAGGTTGAGGTGTCGGGATCGAGCCAAACTGTGACCGGGTGTAAAAACCTTGGAGTCAACTTTGTGTGCAGACTCTTTCAGTGTTGTCACAACCCCTATTGTACAGTACACAACCCTGTGCACTTAAAAGAACCCACGAATCCGTTGGTATATGACCAGGTTGTGGCCACATGAATACGTGCAAACACCTAGTTGCAGGTACAGCAACGTGCAGTGAACTTGGACAAAGTACTGTGACTATGTGTCCCAGTCCACCCAGCTGTTAATGGGTACCTCGTTAGGATGAGAAAGCCACAATAAGTCGGTGCGCCTAGTGGCTGCAAGATTTGTATACTCCCCAGGGAGTTGAGATTGATAATACGATGTGCCGTTGAGATTGACATCAAATGATCGAGGGAGAAATACCAGTGCCTTGAGCATGCACTAGTTGCCTGGATATGTGCGCTATATAAATATCCTATAATAATGACAGATGGGTAAAATAACAGACACAGATGACTACTCTTGATGTGCTATAGGTGTATGTTCTTCGTATATTTGTGTGTCTCCCCCACACACAGTATTTTGGGGTTTCTGCTTCCATTCTCTACATTTGTGTAGCCTTAATCCCTGCTTCAATCTTGGCGTACCTCCGCTTCACTTGATTGATGTTATCTAGTTTAGAACACCTTATTTGGGTTCAGTACTTAAACAGGGTTTCCATGAATGAACAGACATATTTTGGTGCACATTTGGTTCATGTTTTTCAGTAAAATTCTTGCAGGTTGGCATAAATACTCAAAGTGATTTAATACTTAATGTCACATCCACAGTATTTCAGCCATATCGCGACAAGAACAATTCAAACATAAAAATGAATAAATTTAGAATCTAACATAAAAACTTGTGGTCAGTGGGCAGTAAAACAACTAGAGTATCACATATTTTGACTTAAAACTAACATACATGAGATACCTTCCAGGATGAAGTTTTAAATGACTGGCCGCCCGTGAAGAACCTGGGTAGAATTGGTCTCCAGCAAGCCATGCTTGTCGTGAGAGGCAGGGGAGATTGGGGAGTCAGGCTCGCTGACTTGAATGACACCTGACTGTATACCAATTGCGTAGATCGATGCTCTTGCTGTTGATCACAGGATTGTCTGGTCCAGACTTGATTATTTACAGACCGCCACATATACCTGGAATATTGCTGAGTGCGGCGTAAAACTAACCTCACTCATTCACTATTAACTCACTGCTGTCATATAGATAGAAATCAAACAACATGCAGACAAACAAAACAAATATTTTGGAAATATGGAACATGTTTACAATTTACAGCCTTACAATTTTTGTCTTATTCCACAGGAAGCAGGAGATTGATGCACTGACCATGAAGATGATTACCGAAGGACAGGAGGAGGAAGAGAGTGAGAAGGAAGAAAAACCCAAGTCCAAGTCAAAGAAAACCACCAGCATCAAATCAAAAGGCAATGATCATGTGACACGAAATGGCCGAGCGGGAAAAGACTTATAACTCTAAGCGGGAAAAGACACAAGTGATGCAGAAGACACAGGAGAAAAATCTGATTCATCGTTCGATGAAGTAAGTTTATTTATGAAATAGCAATGATATACAGGGAACTAAGATTTATCTGCCCAGAGTGAATGAGCAGTGCCTATCCATGCTTGTTGTAAGAGGCGACTAACGGGATCGGGTGGTCAGGCTCGCGGACTTGGTTGACATATGTCATCGTATCCCAGTTGTGTAGATCAATGCCCATGCTGCTAATCACTGGATTGTCTAGTCCAGACTCAATTATTTACAGACCATCGCCATACAGCTGGATTATTGCGCTGAGTGTGGCAATGAACAACAACCCAACCTGTTGGTGGTTAAAACTTCAAGCTGAACAATCCAGTGATTGACATCATGAGCATTTATGTACATAACTGGGATTTGATGACATGTATCCGCCAAGTCAGTGTGCCTGACCACCAAACTCCCTAAACTGCTCGTTGCAACAAGTATATGTTGTAGTGTTGGGAATCGGAAACCAAATCCACTATCGATTATCGGAGGATTGTGGTAAACGATTATCGATTATAATCGAAATATATGTACATTTTTAATGAAATAACCAATTTGAAGGGTTTTTTCTAATAAATGTTTCTTATACCTAATACTGTCATGCAATGAAATTGCACGCATGCAAGAAAGACACTGGAATTGTAATTAAACAATAAAAGTAGTTAAAAGTTTACAATGCGCATAGCTTTACGCTGTTGAGCGCATGTTTGTTCATGAATATTCGTCATATTTAATCGCTAGTTTACTTCATTCAAGTGTGTTAAACTAAAACAACAAAATTCCAATTAATGGAAAATATTTTCTTTTACAATTGATAATCATTTTTAATTACTCTTTCAATCGATTTTCGATCATTGGAACACCACTAATAGGTTGCTCAAGCGAATCCGCAGGGTATAAAATTAGATGCTAAATGAGACAAACCTGTGATTAACGTGAGCAACATCCACAGCCATCTTGTCACAGGTCAGCATTATAATACACCGGTAGATGGAGTATGACAGAGAAGGGTGTTGAACAACAAACACTAAGCAGGCAGATATATATTTGGAAGATAATTTCACATGAACTGATGAAACATTTCGCCATGATGTGTATTAAGACACACCTGTCTGTTTCAGCCTGAACCTGTGCCGGTGATAAAGAAGAGGAAGGTTGAGAAGAAGCCACAGGTACAGTGATGTTAGGGGCAGAAGATATTCAATATTTAGAGAATAGATGGTAGATTTTCTGGCCCAATTTAAAAGACTTTCTTTAGTCCTTAAGTCTTAAATACTTACAGTATTAATTCAGAGTTCAGAGTACAGAAATTGCGCATCCAAATACGGCTAGCTTAATGGTGAGGTGAGGTGAAATTGGGTTTTACGTCGTACTCGAGAATATTTCGCTCATATGACGATGTGCATGTGTGTGTATGTGTATGTGCGGCTGCTGGTACTAGCCCAGACTTAAGCTGGTTTTATAGTGCTAGCCCACTGAGATACCATGCCGCAGTGAAGCATGAATACCCCACTCAGACACATTATACTGACATCGAGTTGACCAGTCCTTGTTGTACCCATTAATGCCGAGGCCAGGCAGGGACCAACAAGTACCATATTTTAACGTCTTTTGGTATGACGCGGTCGGGGATCGACCCCGCGACCTTCCGCTCTCCGGGCGGACGCTCTAACCACTACACCACGGAGGTGGTCGCAAGCTTAATGGATTGTGGCTGTTTGCCACCTCAGCCACATGATAACCCAAGTGTCCTAAGCAATAAATTATGTTTGGTGAACGCTGCCAAAAATGATACTCAGGTTGACCAGAACTCTAGATAAGCTTTTTACAATCTGGGTATTTTACCCATGGTGTCTGTTATAAATGGGTACTACTGATCTTCAGTGGGTACTCAAATTTTACGATACCCATCCTTTTTTTGAAATGTGGGTATTTTCTGTGTCCGTAATTTAAAAAATGTTAGAAAAGATAACTATAGCCAGTTGTTTGTACATCAGACATTAACATGGTCGTTGTTTAAAGGTAAATATCCCCAAAATGTGAAGTTTTAAGTTACTTTATTATTTGACTTGTGCAGTGACTAAATTGAAATACATGTCGGCATGAATGTTATTTTAAACTGGTTAACTGTTTGAACTGTCACAATAATATTGAATAAATGGAAGCAGGTATGGTTCACTTGATGGAACACTTGCTAATTGTCATTCAGTGTCAGACGTTTTAGCCAGGTCTGGGCTTGTAATCACAGAAGAGTCCGTCCTTCTTTTTCTGAGCCAGTGTTTGATTGCGGGACGGGAATCAAATGACTGCAGAGAGGGACCCAGCATACTTATTTTGAGGAGTAAATCCAGTTTTTCAGAACCAAGTGATGCTCTAAACTTATTCTTCAGTCGATTTTGTGTGCTGGAGCTCTGCTCGCATTCAACACTTGTAAGCTGCATACACAGAGCAATAGAAGCAAGCTTGGCACAGTTTGGCATTGAATCTTTGTGAAGCAGAATGACCCTTTTGCAGAGTTGTTCAGGTAGAAATTTTGAATATGTTCCACTGATCATTCCTCTAAGCCTGGGCCTTTCGTCAAGAAGTTTGTCAGGTTGTAGCAGGGGTCCCACCAGTTTAATGTGTTCTTCCAGACTTTGGTGTAGATCCCCTTCTATCACTTTGACCTCCTCCTGTGCACCATAGAGAGCACCAAGATGTGCAACAGCATCACCAGACTCCTCTCCAGAGACAGTGTTTACTGTAAGTGGTTCCAGAGCCATACTCATATCTGTGAAAATGGCACTGTCTTCCTCCTTGAATCTGTTCTTGATATTCTTCATGAGGTTCTTCAGGTATTCTGCTCTGAGGGTCTCAAACTGTCCGTTCATTGTTTTAGCAAATAGCAACTTCTCTCCACCTACAAATGCTTCTTCATTCTTTATTTCAATTCTGGTCTTCATTTCCTTCAAGCCTTGCCCATCATGAGCTTTCATGGTATCGACTTTATCGAGTGTCCCTTCAATAAGCGGCCTGAGTTCACTAAAGAGAAGGTTTTTCTTCTGGAGGCTACAGGTTAACACTGCCAACTCTGTGTGGACATCAAGGAGGAAAGCTATCACCAGTATCACTTTATAGCTAGCAAAGTACTTGTACAAGCCTTTTGCAACTGCATTTTTTTCAGCTGCAAATTTTGACAGCGTTGCTAGGACAGCTTCAGAACTTTCAAAAACTGCTTCAACTGCATTTTTCAAGCCTAGTCATCGAATAGAATGTGGTTCCTTGATTGTCAGTTCTGGCTCTTCTAGAAGGGTTTGAATTCTTTTAAGAGCAAGTCTTCGGCTACTTGACGCAGATATAAAGTTGTAGAGTGAATTGAACTTGTCTCTGAACTTAACCATGAATTCAATTTTCTTAATTGAATCAATGCAAGCATGGTTCAGCCTGTGAGCTACACAGTGGGTCTGGATGCAGAAAGGAGAATACTTGGCTTGAATTTGTTTTCCTACACCTGTGCGCTTACCCATCATAGCAGCAGTGCCGTCAGTTGAGAGAGAAACACATTTTGTTAAGTCAGTGCCTAACTTTTCAAATTCTGCTGCTACACAGTTAACAATGGTGTGAGCACAACCATCATCAATAGGATGATTGCATAAGAAACTAGTCACAGGTTCTCCAGCTTTCACATATCTGACACATATGCTTAACCTTTCTTCAACAGTCACATCAGTGCTTTCATCAAGCATTATTGAAAATACTTCAGATAAATTAATCTCATTGACAAGTGTCTTTGTCATGATGTAGCAGGGCAGTGAATGTAACACAATGACAAACACACGCTACGGGTGTGAGCTATTGCCCAAAGGAGCATTTATTAGTCGATAATTCACCCTGAAACATTTATAGAAATAATGATACATTAATACTACACACAATAAAATCATCAATGTTACAATAGGTCATACTAGTAGTTGTAAACAGACTAGATAACATACAATAAATAGTAAGGTTACAACCAATCTTGCCAAGTATATAGCACGATATATATTTATAAATATTCTAATTGCAATAAGATTATGAACTTTTTTACAAATTGTTCTCATATAGTAAATGGGTAGGTTAACTGATCTATATTACACCTTTTAAGTAATGGATATACATGTAGTTAATTGTACAACACAGTATGACACATCTAATAATCATACAAATCTCAAATGGACAATACAAGCAATGTGCCTACCCTGTGGATGAGACTGGGGTGTCGACCAGCACAGCAATATTTCCAGAATATATCTGAATAAAATATATATATACTCTCATAACTAAGAGTAACACACTTATACAATTTATATACTACTTGAAATGTTAATGCCGTATATATCATACGCATACCTAACCACAACAGAATTTAAATAAGACTGTTCTGCAACACATTCAGACTCTTATCTCACACAAGAGTAAAGATATAGAAAAACTGTTTGTTAGTATGTACAATAGCTTACAATTTATAAGCCTGTTTTAGCATATTTAGGTAAATAGATAATGGATGAGATTTAGATAACAGCAAACACTTAGTTTACTTTAATAGAACAAGTTAAATGTACTGCAACATATAAATGCAATAATATAAATATACAGAGATATATTGAACTGACCTGATTTGAACAGTTCCTGTCAACTTGTCTGTGGAGTGACTTTGTGCAGAGTGCAAGCTATTAGACAAAGGGTTTAACTTGGAGGGTTAGCTTGGCCAATCAGTTGAGCACGTCATGGCTTGGGTTTGTTAAGGGCTTGAGGGACACATGACCTATATCTTAACTATCCTACTGATAAATATATATATATACAGAATAGAAAACATTAAAATAATAAAATCCCTATGTACAAAGTTATATCTGCCACAAGGACATGGCAAATAGTTTTTGAATCTCTGTTACAGTTCTTGTACTTGACATCCAAACCATTCATTTTCTGTAATGACAACAGACCCTTCACCTGTTCAGATGGGCATTCTGATTTGGCAGCAAAGTAAACAGTATTAAACAAGATGGTGTCATCATTAGAACAAACGTAACCAACATCATCGCCTAATTCCTCTTGTATTATATCTGCCCCCTTGTCTCTCTCCATTTTATCAGAAGCACGTTTGTGATCTTCACGTCTGAATACTTGGTGTACCATCACTAGCCCACACACTTGTAAGGACAAACTTATCTTTGCCGTCTGACAATACGTGCAGCATAGTCTCATTTCATCAGTTTGTTTATTGAAAGATAACCATGGAAACCTCATTTTCCATGCATCCTGAGTTTTTTTCAAAAGGTTATTCCCGTCATGTTTCTTTGCCGGTGCGTGTGTGACAGTGGTGAGCAAATGTGCCAATATTCTATCGACAGCAACCTCCGATTCAAAACAATTTCCAATAAGTTCAGCAATAATTTCTTTTGCGATGGCAGAAGTTTCAAATGATTGATTTCGAACTGTGACAAATGCCGAAATCTTACTTTGAGATGATGTTTTAGACGACGAATGAACACGCGACTTCCGTGAGGCCGTTGTTGATAAACAATGAGTGTCCAGACTTTCTAACAAGACAAGCGATTTCATTGGATGATATTTTTAGCAGAACTAATCAAGATGAGTGCTACATACATAACTAACTGCGTTTGAGCGATTGTTTCTTTCTGTAGTTCATAATACGAAGAGTTACATAGTGAAATTCAATCGATAATCTACCCTATCCGATCGTAACATTTGACAGTTAGCTTCTTTCTGTTACGCACTTGTTTTTTGCCGGTAAGTCAGGGTACGCAGGTTAGCAAATAACCAAAATGTTTCTGTAATTTACTTTGCGTATTTGGGACACTACAGATATATTTCTGTGCATATTTTGGAAATTTATATGCATATTTTATGCAGATACGCAGCTTATCTAGACTTCCGTGTTGACACAAAAAATGTTTTGGAAACTTCAACCAGAAGCAGGTTGGATTTATGGTGCTAAATCTTTCTCATGCTTTGCACTCTCCTTTGTTCTTCCAACTGTGAAGTGGAAACTAAACTCACTCACTCAGGCTCAACAGCTTTTATTCATCCAAGCAGAGATCGGCATTTGCCTAGGGAAGATGTTCCTCCATCCCAAAAGGTGGTCGAGGAGACAGAGACAAT